GGAACCCAGTAGCATTAACCAGTAGCCCTGAAGGGTGGCATGGGCAGAGATGCCAATGGGTGAGGACCGCAAGAACAGGAAAATAAACACAAAACATGAAGCACCTTTGTGTGTCCAGAACTACTGGCAGGACGTCATGGAAAAAAACAATGAGAGTTGAGTGTAGAGACAGGAGCAGAGAAACTTAGCTAAGTCCTGCTGATTGGACCCATTTGCTCACACAGGCTGGAAAAGTCCAAGTGACACACACTGTATCCATTCTGCAGACACTTCTTAAATGCCTATGCTGCAGCAAGACACAGAGTGTCCGGTGCTGGGCTGCATCAAGGAACGAGAAGGCTCCTGCCTTGAGGAACTTACAAGAAACACACACTCCACCTTTTCTGTGGAAGAGTCCCTATATATTCCCATAGCATTCGAAATACTAGACAGATCACATTTATTTTTTAGTTCATAAATTATTCTTGGCTTCTGTTGTTGATGTCTGCTCTCATCCTTAGTTCTTGCAGAAGTGGCATTTATTACATAAGACGTGTGTTTTTCCTGTGGGCAGTGCATGGAAGTGTGAGGTTTCCAGACACTATTTACCATCCCCTCTCCCCAGCTTTTGTAGGGTTGGGAGTGAAAAAATTCACCTTCAGAATTTTTTCAGAAAGTTAAAACAAAAGAATCAACATAAGATAGAGGATCGGCCACTTTAAGAAAAGAAACCACATTGTTTCATTTGCCCACCTGTGTGTTCAAAGTGGACTCAGGGACACAGAATTAGGTTAGTCATAATCCTTGGTTCAAGACACAGATTCTATATTGGTCCCTGAAGAGCTTGTTTTTTATCTGTTTGTTTAATAATAAAGTAAACAATCACAATCTACTACCTAACATGAGATCTAGAACTTAATGACGCTTACGTTTTCCTAACCCATCCCAACCCTGATGTAATCACTGTCCAAACACACACACACACACATTTATATTTAAGAGCATTTATATGACAAAAACTACATTTTAACCGTGTGTGTGAATATATATGAAGATGCTTTCACATATTTGAGAGAGAGCATGTTAACTTTAGTTGTTTTCACTTTATATAAAAGGACATCATTCTAAAAAATGTTTCTGGAACCTATTCAATAATATATATCTAAGACACATCCATATTGTTCCATGTTGCTTTTTACTGTAGTGCATTTTATTACTTGTAAGAGCCACTCATTCTCTTGTCCAGCAGGTATTGAGTTGTTTCTACATTGTATTTTACTCTTTATTATGGAAGTTTTCAAACATATAGAAAAGTAGAGGGAAGGATATAAGGAAGGAGGGTGCAGTCACCACCAGGGTCAGCAGTTAGCAACATTTGGCTAATCTTATTTCATGTATTCTCCCATCCACCACTGGATAATTTTGAAGCAAATCTCAGACATCACCCATACAAAATTTAGCTTGCCTCTTAGATAATAACCTTTTTTTAATGTAGCAATGCAAATCTCACTTACTCCTTAATATTAGCATAAATCCGCTACTCAGAATTTCCCGATTGTCTCGCATCTTTTCTACCTGCATGACCCCACACTTCTGAAATCGTGGAGGGGAGGAAATGCGTAACCTGTGAGGTCAAGGCAGAGTCTGAAAGCCGGTGGTGGTTCTCCTCCGGCTGCAGTCAGCTCCTTTTCTGGGTCATTGCTGAAGCAGCCAGAATCTAAAGCGGGGGACTCCAGAGAGCACTGGAGAAGTTGGAGGAAGGAAGAGAGATGCAAGCCGTGTGGCCCCAAGCCTGAAGATAAAGAAAAGGCGGAAGCAGCCGAAGAACCCTGTGCAACGTCCTCACCGAATCCTCCTTCTCGAACCTCACTCTCCTCTCCTTGCACAGTTAAAATCTAATAAGGTGTTCAAAGGCCTCTGCCGGCCCCTCTGTACCTCTCCCTCTCTGAATGCTTAGAAAACAGAAGAAGAAGAGAAAAGGACATAACAGGAAAATAGAAAAGTAAGGGTCAAAAACTGCCCAAAACCTCCTTCACCTAAACCAGGCATTGGCAAACTTTTCCCATAAAGGACAAAATAGTAAATATTCTAGGTTTTGCCGTCTCAACGACTCAACTCTATCTTCAAAGAGCAAAAGTGGCCAAAGACAATCTGCAAACAAACAGGCAATGCTGTTTCCTGATACCCTTAATCCACAGAAACAGAGAGCAGGCTACATTTGGCCCACAGGCTGTAGTTTGTCAGCACGTAGTCTAAGTACAACAATTTTTATTTCTGTCTGTTCCTCCTACATTTTTTATTATTAAACAGTTACTATAGTTTAAATAGAAAAATAGGAAAAATGGAAATATAAAATATAGCTAAGTAGCTAATTAATGTGATTATCCCCATTTTTCAGATAAGAAAATTGACGTACTGTGAGATTAAAGGATTTGCCCAGGATCACAGAGACACCACGTGGCAGTGCTTGAACTTGAACTCCCAAAGTCTATCTTCAAAGTCCAAGTTTTTAAGTTTTCTCCTTGTCTAGATGCAAACAAATGTCAATATTGTAACCATAAAAATTGTACAAAACAATTCATAATGTTTGCTTAACCCTGTAAATATTTAAGTCTCACAATTTTGATAATCTGTTCATAATATTAATCATTATAATTGATAGTTGCTGCATAATTTTTAATCATCAGGGTAATAAGTTTTATTACATTATTTTATATCTCTAATGATTTTTTTTTTTTTTTTTTTTTTTTTTTGAGACGGAGTCTCGCTCTGTAGCCCAGGCTGGAGTGCAGTGGCCGGATCTCAGCTCACTGCAAGCTCCGCCTCCCGGGTTCACGCCATTCTCCTGCCTCAGCCTCCCGAGTAGCTGGGACTACAGGCGCTGCCACCTCGCCCGGCTATTTTTTGTATTTCTTAGTAGAGACGGGGTTTCACCGTGTTAGCCAGGATGGTCTCGATCTCCTGACCTCGTGATCCGCCCGTCTCGGCCTCCCAAAGTGCTGGGATTACAGACTTGAGCCACCGCGCCCGGCCTAATGATTTTATTTTATTAAATTATTTCCTAAGCTGAATTGCCAGGAGTAGTATCATTGGTCATCTCTCAAACCTTGTTGTGATATGCTGGGGAAGAGAGTGCTGATTTGTGACAACTGCCAATTTCTGTGGTGTAAAGACTCCACAATGGCCACCAATTTTAAGCTACCAACATGACATCACTGAACAGAGCCAAGAAGTGATGCACATCCTGGGCTCTTGCAAGAAGATGCAAGCTGGTCCCAGCACCCAACTGACTTGGCTCATGTTGCCTTTCTTCTTCCCAGCACCAAATTATAAATTAAATTACAGGTGTGAGAGTGTTTCATAAAAACTTTTAAACACTTGATACTGTGTGAGTGCACCAGTATCTCAAATTTGCTCTAATTTACATCCCCTGGTTCTTACTGAAAGTGTCATTTTTCCATGAGTTCCTTTATGTGTGTCTCTTCTGCAATCCCCTACTCACATTTTTTCATCTGTTAGGGTGATGATGCGACTATAGACTGAATGTTTGTGTCCTCCCAAAATTCGTATGTTGAAATCCTAACCTCCAATATAATGGTCTTAGGGGTTGTGGCCCTTGGGAGGTGATTCAGTCATGAGGGCTGCCATCTATCAGCCAGGAAGTGGGCCCTCACCAGACACCAAATCTGCTGGCACCTTGATCTTGGATTTCTCAACCTCCAAAACTGTGAGGAATACATTTCTGTTGTTTACAAGCCACCCTAGTTATGGTATTTGGTTGTAGCAGCCCAGACTAAGACACATGCCTTTTCTACGACTTTGGATAACTCTATACATGATAGTTCTTCATTCCTTGAGCTTGTCTGACACAATTTCGTCTAAACCTTGCTTTTGTGATTTTATTGTGCAGAAATCATAATGTAATTAAGCCTCCTCGCCTTTACTCTTGCAAGTCTGTTGGTAATGAACAAGAAAGAGTTCATCCCATCTTCATTTCTTCTACAAATATTCATTAAATGCCTGCTTTGAGGTACTGGAAATACAGCTGGGATCAAAATAATCTCTCTGCCCTCATGGGTCTTCCGTTTGTTTGGGTGGGAAACACAAATTGAATATGAACAAGCAAATCTATACTGGAAGGTCTGGTGGTGATAAAAGCTACCATGGTACAGAGCGGGGTGAGGGGACGGAGAGGAAGGAAGGAGGCGCTGCTTTAGAAAGGCCTCCGGGAAGATCACATTTGAACAGAGACCTGAAAGGTGGAGTCACCAGCCGTGCTGATTTTCCTGCCATTGGAGTTTTTGTTTTTTTTTTTAATTGAACTCATTTCTCTATCTCGATTTTATTTTTGGTATATGACATGAAAGAGGGTCTGGTTACATTTTTTTTTCCATTTGTCTACAATTATCTCAATGCCCTTCCTTCTATTTTCAGACGTGTTGTTACGAAGTTGGACCTAATGCTCGGTTCACTAATACATTCCAACGTGTGCATTGTAAATTGCTGTTTTTTGGATAGCCCTTTCCAAAAAGTTCATCAATTCTTGCTGATTCTTCTGCTTTATCCTTTTTGGTCTCAAAATGAACAACCAGCTTCCTGAAAGGCAAACCATGTCTTAACCATCACTGTATCTACAACACCTCCCATAGAGTCTAGTCAAAATAGACGCATAATATGTTTTTGTTGAATGAATGTCAAAACTCATGCAGATGTTTTCCACTCTCATGCAGGCCTCAGAGCACTTCATTCTGTTAAATAGGTCACAAGTAGCAGACAGCTACTCACACCCACTCATAGGCACATCTACTCCTGTCACTGATTTTTAGAAAAAAAAAAAAAAAAAAAAAACAGAATATAAGACTTCAGTCCTTTACTACAAAGCCACTATAAATATGGAGCCTTTGGTAGACAACTGAGGCAAAAAACAGAGTCCCTCAAAAAGACACAGCCACTTCCAAAAGAGAGGGCATACGGAGTTTGTGTTGGAATTATTTCATTCTGTTTATTTTACTTGGGATAGGATTGAAAATCTTGATGACGAGGCCGTAGCACAGTCAGACCATCGGCTTTTCCAGTTCTGTGTTTGCACCGTCTGTGCATCCATATTCCCCCCAAAACCAAGAAGGCCAGTGCAAGTGGGGCCAGCACAATGCCCCAGGAGAACGTGGAGGAGGCTGTGGGGAAAACAGAGTCACATCAGGAGCTGAACAGTCTCTCACTGTACAAGAAGACAGGGCAATGCAGGTGTACAGGACAAGAACGAAATTGGAGTTTGTTTTTCTTGATAAATGTGCATTGATTTTCAGAAAGCACATCCCTCACACCAAATGATGTCTGTGGATTAGAGAAACAAGTGAGATAGGGCAAAATCTGTTGGAAACGTCATAGGGTAAGTGGGCAAGTGCTGAGGGTTTAACTTTGTTCCGACAGTGGGACACTGTGCGTTTAAGATGCTGCCTGTTTATGTCTCAGTTGGCCAACTGTGACAGAGCCAGGAACAATCTGCCCTTTTCCAATGAGCATGGGTGTCATGAGGATCAAAGGAAGTAGCAAAGGAAAATAAATTTTGAATAATGGAGCTGTAGGGGCCAACATGATTGCTTGGGTCCAGCTATTTTATGTTCTGCTCCTTGGCGTCTCTGTGTTATGGAAATACAGGAAGAGACTCTGAATAAAATGTCAAAAAGCAAATGTGAAAACAGAGTGTTATCAGACACATTGTTGATGAGACTGGAATCCTGCATTTTTAAGCTATTATTTACCACAGTCTGTTTAGTCATCCAGGAATCGACATGACCTCAGCCTGTTGCTCCAGAGGATTCTCACATCTTAAAACCCCACAAAGATTAGAAGTAAGTTCAGCTGTAATTTTCTGGGCAGCTGTTTGAATACACCTCTCAGTCCTGGTGAAAGACTCTCAGCCTGTGTTCCCTGGATCAGTCACGGCCAGCCACATGCAGGGACAAGGCTCATGTTATGGAAAATTTTAAAGGTTCCCAGCATGAGGGCCAGACAAACCACAGGTTCCTTGGGCTCACTAATCTGACCCCGAGAAGGAACATTCTGATTTTTGTGGGTAAATGTGTACAACCACCATCTCTCTCCCAGCCTGCTCATCTGGAAATGATCTGAAACGCCACCCTTCCCATGTGTGCCCTCATTCTCAAACTTCACTGTGAAAAGAGCTTGTTGAGTCACAGGCTGCAGCCTCTCCCTAGGAGAATTTGACAGGGTGGATCTGGAGTAAGTCCAGAGATCTGTGTTTGTAACCAGTAGCTCAGGTGAGTGTAAGGCTGGTGGTACACGGCGCACAGTTGAAGGAAAGTTGCGTTGGGTGCCATTCCCTGCCCTGAGGCTGGAACGCATCATTAGCTTTCCAGTTTACACTGTGTCTGTCGCTGCCTCCCCAGCAAAACATGGAGACCTGGAGCAATTTGTATTTACGTTACTGCTGTATGACTGTCCAAGAGGCATCACTGAGATTTCAGATGGGAATCACTTTGGCTTGCCTGCCATTAGTTTCAGGCTGCCAACAGAGACTACATTAAAGGCACCTCTCCCCCCTGCTCAACAATTAAACATTGATATGAAATCAATTTAATCAAAAATGATAATGTGGGTTTTCCTCTTCTTCTTTTTGAATGTCCTTAAATGAACACTGGGTTGATTTGGCTGTAGCCTTGTACCTATTTCTGGTTATACAATGACTTTGACCCTAAAGCTGCCCTGAACCCTGGGTAGCTCCCAGTTCTCAGCTCTTGGAGGATGAAGTTTCTCATCTTCAGGATAAAGAACAATCCAGCCTCCTCTAGAGGCCATGCAAAGACAGGTGATCAGTGACCCAAGGCAGAGCCACATGCAGAGTGTTTCGAAGTTTACTGTAGAACCATTTCATCTGTTTTTCAAACATCAGCTTGCTATTTAAATTTTTCATTTGAGTATAATCTCCCGAAGTTCATCTTCCACGCTACCAAAAATCTTTAAAAATTGGAGGTTTCTTTTCAGCTCTTCACTAGCAAGCAATGCGAGGGAATCTCTATGGAATCATCTGAAGAACAAGCAGCTTTGTCTAGTATTCACGGAACATTCAACATGTTATATTCTCCTGTAGTGCTCCCCAAAATACATACATACCTTCCTTGACTGTGGTGCGTAGTGTCTGAAAACCCAGGGTATTACGGACAACACATTTAAAATCCATGTTCAAATCCTCTCTTGTGACAGGATCAAAAATCAATGGCACTTCAATGTAGTTCTCATTATTTTCTGAATATTCCCTGAGTTAGAAAACATTCACTTAAATATGATTGTATCAAAGGCAAGCTTGTCTTTCACAATGTAGGCATCTAAACACTCTCCATTAGAAGCACCCATTGCGCTTTTATTGTTTTCAAGTTTCATAAATTAGGAGCTCTTGCCACCATACTTGTTATTCATTTGGGACAGTTTCTAAGCCTGTTCCTGAAGGCCTGAGTGTCACTGAAGTTGGTGGTCACTGGTATCAAGCAGTTGTTACACTACAGGGTTAGATAATGGGGAAGTTCATCTTATAAGTCCCTGAATGAACAACAACAACAACAAAAAACACAGTCGTGGGAACAGAAACGTCTACTTTGAGGAAACTTGAGTCCCTCACCATTAAATCACTTGCATATTGAAGGGCAGGGAGTTTCCAGGACTCCAGCCCTCAATGGTGCCATCTCTTCTCATCTCTACTGCTGACTCTCACTCTGGAAACCTGCAGACAGCCCAGGGGAATGGCTCTGGCCAGGATAGCTGCCATTTATAGTGTTAGAGAAACTAGTAGACACCTCACTACTATCTGTTAGTATGAATAAAAACATGGATGAGTGGATCTACTAGGAATATTTTTCTTTTATTTGTAGGAGGAATATAGGTTCCTTTAAGTAAATGGATCGTATGAGTAAGCTGAGATGGGCATTTAGTTGTGGCCAGGTCTTTCGCAATGAGAACTTGCAAGCACATGATTGTGCTAACCACACATAGTTTTTATCCACTAAATTACATCCAGAAAGATCTTCTGTGATAAGTCTTTCAAAAAACACAACCATTTGGCAAGCAAAAGCTCAGGTTAATTCAAAGTATCAAAACTGTGATTTTAAAAATACCTTACAATTTGGAACGTTGAATGGTCTCCCTCATAGGCAACGAGTTCCCATTTACAAAAGGTCTGTTCTAGTCTCAAAGTGAGAAACCATTTTCTAGAGATGACTGCTCATAAGAACTGAATTCTTTCTTCCTTTTATTATCAACCTTCCTTAGAGAGTGTGGCAGCCCACAGCTCCCTGAGAAACAGAAGAGGCACTACAGATCCTGTGGCTGCGTCTCGAGGTCTTTTTAAGGGTTTATGAAAATGTTTGACAGTCAGGTTGCAGAGTGGAAAATGGAAAGGTATTAACTCCAAAATACTTTTTTAACTTGCAAAAATAAAAGGATCACTGTTTAATTAAACAGCCACAAAATGCAGCATCAATACCAGCATGTCAACTGCAACTCGACTTTTAAGTATTTACAGAGAAGGTTTGATTCTCAAGATGATTTTTAGCAAAACTCAATTTTTAAAACTCTAAACATCCAATAGTTTGGAATCACAAAAAGTTACTTTTAATGTGGTATGTGGGTCATAGTGATAACTGTCTCCAAAAGGAAGAGTGAAACCCACAGAGGTCTCGACAGAAGACCCTGGCCCACTTACTGGCGCGGCCCCTCGGTCACGCGGCCTCCCGGGTAGGCGCTCTCTACGTGGGTGTCATTGGCCGTCCACCACAGCATGGTGGTTAAGGGCGTGCCGGTTCCCAGAAACACCTTACACGGGATTGTCAGTCTCGACCCTGTGGACAGCAAGGCACAGCATGTCAACAGCAGAACCAGCGCCTCCCACCTATCAGTAAACCTGAGCCCTGAGTCCTTCCTCAGCTTCTCAAACACCCCTCACCAGCCAATTCTTTCCTTAGTGGAAAATTTAGTTTTCTCAAATGATTCTGTTCACACAGAGCTTTACTGTTTACAAAGTGCCTCTGGTTCCTACAACTGGTCTTCACAGCAGGCGAAAACCAAGAGGCACCTGAAGTTAAATGGCTTCGCCAGGGCCCCTGCGCTCCCAGGGCGCATGCTAAGTTCAAGCCAACTTCCTCTGCCACTCACTTCAGTTACCTCAGACAATCCAGATCAACGTGTGGATTCTTTCTCTTTGTCCGAGGCTGGTCTTGGCTCTAATGTTTCTCCTGGGAACCCTCCATTCCCAGATGACTCTGGGGATCAACCCTTCTTAAAAACTCTGTATTTTCTATACATGGTGCCCTCTGCAGTTGTGCAGTGTGATGTATTAGGCCCCCCTACCTCAATCACAGGAAATTATTTTTCTTTTTCATTCACCGAAGAAGAGTAGAAGGAAAAGAAGAAGAAATCCTTCTCACTTGTTTTTTCCTCGTGGGTGATATGCCTCCCTGTGGTGTGTCTTTGAATGCACCTGGCCCCACCATGGGTTGAGAATGCCAGCCCTTCTCCATCCTATGCCAATCCTATGACCTTAAAGATCTTCCTCAGCCATAACAACCTACTAATCAGTGTTACCTGGCCCCACAACCCATTCCAGTGCATTCAAAGCAACTGATTGCGAACTGGGCCTGGGAACTTGGCTGGGAAGCCCCAGGGAGCCAGAACACTGGGGCTCCAGTAGGTATCACCCATTGTGCCCACTGCCCCAGATTTCCAGGTGGTTGTTCCTAGAGCTGCAGCCATAGGGACTGCACTGTGGCAGCGGCAACCCAAGTGCCAGCCAGCAGTCCCAGCAACTGCACAAAAGCCCGCCCTCTATGGCCTCCAATTCAAATTTAAAATTTAAACCAACACTAAACAAAAGGAAAAAGCAAATAAATTGTTTTTTAAAAGACTCTGCAGCCAGGGTTTCATAAATGAGTATCAGACCTACAAAAACATTACCCAGAAACAAACACATAAAAGGGTGCAGTCTTTATAGATACACAGACCTGAATCTGAACTCCAGCCTCACTCTGAGGGTGGCCCTTTGGCCTCCACTGAGCCACCGTGATGCCCTGGGTGGCTTTTTCCTTTTGGAAAATTGAGGAAATAAAACCTACAGGGTCTATGTCGAGATTGAATGGGATCCCATTGAACATAGTAGATGCTCAATAAACATCAATTCCTCCCCACCACTAGCATCAGTAGGTTGTTAGTACAGTACACTTACGTACCCTCACTGGCCACTAGTGTGGACCTGTGCTGGCCAGGATGGACTGCACACATGGGGTGAAAAGCAGAAAGCCCCATTGGTCATTTTCATAGCACCATTCAACCAGTCTACCAGCTCTTCTAGCAACAAGAAACTGACCACAGCTGAACCTACTTTACAAATGGAGTCTTAGAGAGAGGCAGAGCGCCAGCCAAGTTTTGGTGATGTGAATTATTTTAAATACACTGAGGGTGCTGGCTCTGCCTGGGGTTCATGCTGTTCATCTTCTCATGCAGTTGATAACCGCTGCCAGAACATTCAGATTTTCACATTCATATTTTTACAGGTAGGCTTTGCATGAAGCAAAGCATACCTGTTTTCAGATTACGCCATTTCTAACCAAACTGGCCAAAGGGAAATATTCCCTCACATTTGTTATTCCGGCCTCACATACTGGAGTTCTAAGGTCTCCACCCAGGCACACTGCACCCAAGGGGCAGATATGGTCAGCAGACACGAGGGTTCCAAGCCCCCTGCACCCCCACAGGTGCACGGAATGGTCCTCGCGGGTCTTACCCAGAGAAGCCGATATGGTCTTGAGGGGGGAAATGATCACAGGAATGGTCTCCTCTTTTTTTTCTGAGAAAGATGTAAGGAAAAGAGATTCCATTAGGAAAGCCTTCATTTGACGCTGTGGTTCAAGTCATTGTTTGGCTAATCAACTAAGTTATCCTTTCCAGTACGGTCAGTCATTATGAGAGTCAGCCTTTGTCTGGCAAAGGAAACAGGCTCTCTACAAAATCGAGCATCCCTGGCCAATGACTTCCCAGCAGAGAGATTACTGGAAGAGGCCACAGCTAAACACACATTCCGCTGACAGGAGGTCTTTGGTCCTTGCTCTATGAACAATTAACCATTTCCCTCCCAGACTTCCTGAACACAATCTTAAGAGTCATGTTTACAAGGTCCACGAGATAGGATTTCCCCAAAACTCGATCTGACCTAAAATATCTTCTCCACCTCTCCAAAGTGCCTGCCACAAAATACTCCAGATTCAGTTTTCTAGAAAAGGCACAGGGCTCAAGAACCACCTGTTTGGATGACTAGTGTGTAACCTGGCCTCGGCCACAGAAGTCTTGCTAATTGAAGAGATAAACTCTTCAGGGAGGCAGAAGTGATCTCCAAGGGATTAGAGCCAATGTAAAGAAACGAGACAGCCAGGCACGGCGGCTCACGCCTGTAATCCCAGCACTTTGGGAGGCCAAGGAGGGTGGATCACAAGGTCAGGAGTTCGAGACCAGCCTGACCAACATGGTGAAACCTCGTCTCTACTAAAAATACGAAAACTAGCTGGGCGTGGTGGCGCGCGCCTGTCATCCCAGCTACTCAGGAGGCTGAGGCAGGAGAATCACTTGAACCCGGGAGGTAGAGGTTGCAGTGAGCCAAGATCTCGCCATTGCACTCCAGCCTGGGTGACAGAGCGAAACTCCGCCTCAAAAATAAGCAAAAAGGACACCTGGCGGGTGAGGGCTGTGAGTTGTCTCCACGATGGGTCTCATCATCCTCATTTTCACTAAATAGCATTTGAAATCCTGACATGAGTACACATTAGACAGCATGGCAGGACAGCCGGAGGGGCAGACGGCTTCTCGACCACGGCCGGACGCCTTTTCCTCCCCTCAAAGTCTCACGCTGCCCTGTGGAGCTGGGGCATCCAGGGAGAGAAAGAAGCCTCCAGGATCTCAGTGCTTCTTAGACTTGAGGGTCCCCAGCATCACCCAGGGGCTTGTGAGATACAGATGGCAGCCCCCAGACTCTAGTTTCAATCAGTAGGTCTGCACGGAACCCGAGATTTGCATGTCTGTTGAGTACCCAGGTGATGCGGCCCTGCTGGCCCAAGACTACCCCTTGAGAGCCACTGAGGATCACAACACAGAAAGGCATGTGGGGCAGCTGCCCCCTAGTGTTCCTGTGCAGTATCGCAGAGACAGGACCGTGCCGGTCCAAGGAAAGGCTCAGGAGGCCTCAGTCACTGGCCTGTCCAGGAACAAGGAGCCGATATGAATGAATCCTTACAGGACTGTAAAACAAACACAACCAGGACACTTCAGTCCGTGGAAGAACGCGCTGAAACTGAATCTCTGGATTCTCTGTGAGAAAGATATCTTTTCCCCTCACAGACCAATTATTTAAACTTGGTGTGTCTCCAAAGCTGTCTGAAATCCCCTCAAAAGACCCCAGTTGTGTTCATTATTCAGTATAAAAAACAAAGAATTGTGGCCCACTCTCCAAGGCAAAGTCCAAGATTTACACATGGTTACACCTGGCTCCATGTCCAGCACACAGCTGGTACAGAGTAAATGTTGAACAAATGTGAAATAATAGCCAATACTGCTCAAAACACCATTTTCAAACGAAACTCATTTTAATCAATGGCAGCTCTGACTATTTGAAATATCACTATTAAGGGCAGCTAGATCCACCTGAGGGAAGACAAATAAAAAGCGATTTCCACTGGATATGCAAGGCATGGTCCTCCGGTTAGAATACCCAATAAAATCTAAGTATCCTAAAATTATACATAAAGTTATGGCATGTGGTGACCTCTAGCCCTATAGGTGCAAAGATTCACATGACACTTTCCAAGGAGACCTTCCAAGGAAGCCACTGCTTGACTCTCTTGAGTGGTGTGTTTTAGCCTCCATCTTGCAACCCTGTGAACTGCCCAATTCATTCACCTTTACTCAGATCAACACCCTGATTTATACCTTTCAAAGTATCACGCACATCTTATTAACCTGATGCTTCAGGAGACTTGATGGATCTGTTTTCCCTTATCCTTCATTTCAAAGACCTGCAAGGAATTGTACATGCACCCTCATTTGTTCTCTGCATGCTTGTTATTGAACCAGGATAGACGGATGCCTCAATGGCAAGTACTTACTCTTGATGCGTAGCTCAACAGTCCTAGTGATGTTGTATTGCTGGCCTTCATGGGCAAACGTCAGGACACAGCGGTAATAGCCCGCATCTTCCAGGGCCACATCATGTACCAGTAAGTGAGTGGTCCCCCTCACACTTAGAAATTTCTCATTGTCTTTATCCAAAGGAAGAGAATCCTTAAGGGAAAATGTTTTTGTTGACATTATACCAAAATACATCTCAAAGGCTATGAATTGCATCATCATTATCAACCAATGTTGGATTTGCAATCCAAGAATTGCCCTGGTATTTACTTTGCCAATTTGGTACTTTGGGCCTCCTTTTGACTGTATTATTAGGGGAGGGAATTTGTTAACATATAAAACCAATAAAATTGCTAGATTTGGTTAACTACAATAGTTAGAGCATATTTGTCTAGGCCCAATGGGAGAAAAAAGAGACTAACTCTTCTTTGACAAAGTAAGTCATCTAAAATACAAATATGTTTATGTCCTGACTGCTACCTTCAGGCCTTAGGAAGTATCTGGGAAGACCACTACAAATAGTCATGATGAGCTGGCCAACAATGCTCAGAAGAGATGATGTTGCAGTAATTACTTTAAAAAGCATTTCAATTTTGTGAGTCAGCAACAGAAAAAATTCTGTTATAAGAAAAACTAAATAGGGGAAACGAATCCACACTTTTTATATGGACACAAGGTTCTCTGGGGTCTCTGTAGAACAGAATCCTCAAGATCAAGGCCTCCAGGAAATAGAAAGAGCTGAATGGAATTTCTAAAAACACCCTAATGAGCACACAATGTTCTCAGGGACATCGCTTTCAAAATCATGCTTAGTCAAAGTTTGCAACAGTCAAATATAACCTTGTGTCACTTCAGAGTCCCACTCTGAATGAGAACACAGATAAAATGGAAATTGTCACATGGCTCATGGAGTACCACTTTAAAACATATTTAATTAAAAGGAGATATTTCATTGATCTAAGTATGAGTAGTCAAATATGAAAAATGCCAAATAGGGCCCAGCACCACAGTCGTTCCAGTGGTGTATGGGAATTGGCCTTCTGGGTTTGAGTTTTGACTTCACCATCTACTGGCTGTATGATCTTGGGAACATCCTTATGGGTCCTTATCTGTAAAAAAGGGGGATATTTACACTTCCTACTTCACTGGGTTGCATGTAAGGGAGTTTAGAACAGGCTTGGATATAATACATGCTCCGTAATATGTAGATTATTATGAAGTGAATAAAGATTACTAAGCATCACCATAACATCTTTGTCCATGCACATTTATTGAGCACCATTTACATGTCAAGCACTGCACTGGGTGCTTTATACACATCATTCCATTTAATCTTTGAAACAATCCCAAGTGGTGAAAGTTATTAATTGCCACTTTACAGAGGAAACAGGTTGGAGAGGTGGAGTCACTCTGCCAAAGCTGCACAACAGATCAGAAAAGGAACAGAGTTTCAAACCCAGACCCATTGATGCCAGAGCCTGTGCTCCTTCCTCTCCCGGTTAAACCTTTCATTTGTCCTCTTTATGCTTTTTCCAAACCAAAAGAGAATGCATTCTAGGCTGGGCTTGATGGCTCACACTTATAATCTCAGCACTTTGGGAAGCCGAGGTGGGAGGACCACTTGAACCCAGGAGTTCAAACCAGCCTGGCCAACATGGTGAGACCCCATCTCTATTAAAAAGAGAGGGAATGCATTCTAGAGCTCAGCCAGCCTATCCATAGGTGCTGGCTACTTTTCTCTACTTTCAGAAAATCATTTCAAAGTGTCTAATATTAAATCAATATCCTATATAGAGATCCTGTAGTTCATACCAGTCAACCACTTAACCTGTTGTCGATTAAAGGGTTAATTCCCATTAATGGTTAAGCCAATAACTGTACTTTTCAGTACCAATCTAGGGTCTCTATCAGGAGTTGACCAACGTTTTCAGGAAAGGGCCAGATAGGAAGTATTTTGGACCTTGGAGTCTGCAGGGTCTCCATCACAGCTAAGCCGTAATTCCCATTAATGGTTAAGCCAATAACTGTACTTTTCAATATCGATCTAGGGTCTCTATCAGGAGTTGACCAACGTTTTCAGGAAAGGGCCAGATGGGAAGTATTTTGGACCTTGGAGTCTGCAGGGTCTCCATCACAGCTAAGCCGTGCAAAAGCAGCTACAGACAGTACCTAGATAAGAGGATGTGGCTGTGTCCAGTAAGACTTAATTTAACGACCCTGAAATTTAAATTTTATGTGGTTTTCACATCATAAAATATCCTTCTTTTCCTTTTTTTCAAACATTTAAAAAAGCGATAACTATCCTTGGCTTGTGAGCCATTCAAATCCAGGAGACAACTTGATTCCAGGGCCTAGCCATAGTTTTCCAACCGCTGGTCTACATAAGCAATAGCTGATGGCCAGATCTGATGTTCTCTCTAGGAGCAATGAGCACATCAAATAACATCTATTCAACCAGACAAGAAAGCAAATTGTGTCCATATTTACTCCCTTAACAAAAAAGTTTATCGTGTGCTTTTTTTTTTTTTTTTTTTTTTTTTTTTTTGAGTTGGAGTCTCGCTCTGTTTCCCAGGCTGGAGTGCAATGGCACAATCTTGGCTCACTGCAACCTCCACCTCCAGGGTTCAAGCGATTCTCCTGCCTCAGCCTCCCGAGTCACCAGGATTACTGGCACCCACCACCACGCCTGGCTAATTTTTGTATTTTTAGTAGAGATGGGGTTTCAACATGTTGGCCAGTCTGGTCTCGAACTCCTGACCTCAGGTGATCTACCTGCCTCAGCCTGCCAAAGTGCTGGGATTACAGGTGTGAGCCACTGCGCCCAGCCGTCATGTGCTTTTTTAAAAAACTCCTTTAATATGTCTACGAAATTGTTATGTAACCTTTTTTCTACATTTTTATAGACAAATTACAGTAAAAAGTTATTTCCTTCAACTGTTATGTACTCTGTCTTCACAAATCACTATTTCAAGCACCTTTACCCAACCCACATAAGGACTAATAGAACATATTAATTATGGCCCTTTTAAATTCTTTAAAATACAGTCATCCTTCAGTTTCTTTGGGGGATCGATTTCAGGAAACATCCCCCACAGGTGCCAAAACGCAGATGCTTAAGTGGTTTATATAAAATGGTGTCATCTGTGCATATAACCTACGGACATCCTCCCATACTTTAAGTCATCTCTAGATTACTGGTAGATTACTAATACAATATAAATGCCATATATAAATACAGTCATGTGTCGCTTAACAATGGGGATAATTCTGAGAAACAGGTTAAGTGATTTCTTTGTTGTGTGAATGTCAGAGAGTACTCGCACAGGCCTAGAGGGTAGAGGCTCCTACACACCTAGGTGACAAGATTCAGCCTGTTGCTCCTGGGCGACAAACCTGTACAGCATGTTACTGTCCTGAATATTGTAGACAATTGGAGCACAGTGGTCAGTTTTTGTATATATAAACATGCCTAAACATAGAAAGGGCCATGTTTTGCACTATGATGTTGAGATAGCTATGACGTCACTAGGCAATAGAAATTTTTCAGCTCCATTGTAATCTTACAAGACCACCATTGTACATGCAGCCCATTGTTGACTGAAACATTGTCATGCAGCACGTGACTGTAGTTGATGCACTGTATTGGTTTCTTATTTGTATTATTTGTATTGTATTGTTATTTTATTTGTTGAGTTATTTATACTTTCAATCTGAGGTTGGTTGACTCCCAGGATGTGGAACTCACAGATATGAATGGCAAACCATGTGTGTGTTTGTGTGTGTGTGTGTGTGTGTGTGTGTGTGTGTGCACTGTCTTCAGAAAATCGATATTTTATGTCTTTCCTATACGGTTAATAAAAAAAGAAAACACCTTTTAGTAAAATGGTATTTTTTAAAGCTGTACCTTGTACCATTGAATCTTCACGTCAGTTTTGTCACGGGTGAATTCTCTCAGGTCAGGGCACACTAATACCCCAGAGGTTGACAAGGTTAAAATTTGCGGGTATGAGATGAATGGCAGGGAAGCATCTGTATTCTCAAAAACTCTGAGCTCAATGGACACTTTGTCACAGTAAGAGGCATTTCTGATTTAAAAGGAGAAAAAGAGATAAATGGGAAGGCAAAATAAAAGTAAACTAAATGAAATTAGGCATCATTTCCCCAATTCTATTAAAATCTGCATCTGCATTTTCCAGGTTAGTACAGATTGTTTCCTGACATAAGATGATTCAACTTAGGATTTTTTGACTTTACAATGCTGCAACACAGTAAGCATTCAATAGAAACCCTACTTCAGTACAGTATTCAATAAATCACATGAGATATTCAACACTTTATTACAAAATAGGTTTTGTGTTAGATGACTTTGCCCAGCAGTAGGCTAATGTAAGCGTTCTCAGCCCATTTAAGGAAGGCTAGGCTAAGTTGTGATGCTCGGTAAGTTAAGTGTATCGAGTACATTTCTGACAACACTGTTTCCAACTTACAATGGGTTTATTGGTATTTACGCCGTTGTAAGTCGAGGAAAATCTACATTGCAATACTTCCATCCCTGATCTTTTTGAACCCTTGGGGGGGCAAAAAGTGTCATAACATAATTGTACAGAAAAAGCATGTTCTGTGTTTTTCACAAAGGTCTGTCTACAAGCCCAATTCTAATGCCACCAAGGTTCATCAAGAAATCCCCAAGTCCCCTTCAAAAGGGCTTATGCCTTCCAGGTTCTGGAGCTCCTTGAGCCCAGTCCCCACATACTCCAACTTCATGATCCAGGAAACCATATCCACATGGGGAAATTGTTTCCCAAGAGCCACTGTTTCCTTTGCTCCTTCAGGGAATGTTTTATCAACTGAAGTCTAGTTTTAGAAAACTGCTGGAAACTTAGTATAAGACCCACAAAAGATTTTTGTAATACTGCATGGGGAAATTGGTAAGTTTGCTTTATTATTCTTATCATTATTATTATTTCACTAGCCTAATCATTATTTCAATGCCATAATTCTATCAAGACCTTAGAGCTGGAAAATGGGGAGAGGAAAAACCTTTCTGGAAACTTGGGGAAAATGGATAGAGGACAGAAAACAGTAATTAAAGCTACTTTTTCAGTAGAAAAATATAAAAATATAATTATCTCAGCTAAATTTCTGGCTACCTAAGACACATGAGACTTTGACATAGAAAATGAGGATGTCTTACATATAGGGGTAAAAATTAGTTGCACAGCAAAATCTAAACCATCCATATCCAAACAAGTAACAAAATGTAAAAAAAAAAAAAAAAAAAAAAAAAAAGGTGAAAGAAATGTGTTAACAGCTTACCACTTGAAAGTAAAAAGAATTAATTTAAATATATGAGGCCAATATGTGTATTATATTTAGCTTAAAAAAGGAAAATAGATGAACAAATATTATATTTTATGCATAAAGAAATACAGAATGTTAACTCTCACCTTGAAAAATGCATAATCTCACTGCATGTTGAATAAAGGCAACTGAGGACAAATCTAAAGACCAGGGCCTACTTGAATAAGTCACACAGCAGGTAGCCAACAGGGAGTAGATGCAGGCCAGGTCCTGTGCTGTGAACTTTGCACATGTTATTTCATTTATAGTCCAGCCCTCATGAAGTAGGAATTACTATTATATCATTTTTATACGAAAAAAGTTAGGTGTACAGAAATTAAGTGGGCTGTACAGCCACAAAGAGGTCAAACCAAAATGGGAAGCCCAGCAAGGCTCTGGGAAAACCCATAAATCAGAGCACTATCTTCAGAAACCAAGCTTAGTAGACATATTGAAAGTCACAACGCTGTTCACATTATTGATCTGGTAATTCCCCTTGAGCAAAAACTTCATGAAAATAACTCAAAAGAAAGAGAAGGGTGGGGGGCAATTTGATCACCACTTGCACTCCCCATGTAGTGTGGCACCCCCATGGCAAAGGCATGACACTCATTAGTAGTGCTGCTCACCAAATAGGCCCAGTTCTCCCCATTCTGAGCACATGGGGTACCACATGTCCTCATCCCCACTATGGGTGGGTGCAGTTATACGGCTCTTCCCAGCTCACGAGTTGTATGTGTGACCCTTCTACATGAAAGTTGTAACGGCCACAAGAGACCCTCCAAAGCAGGCTTCCTTCTGCTCTAGCAACCAACCAACAACATTTGAAATAGTGAACGTGACTGCTCCTTCAGCCTGAGTCCCTGAGTGTGTGCAAACCCACAGTGGACCTGTTAAATAAGCTGTTGTTATTTTAAGCCACTGAGATTTGGGAGCTGTTTGTTACAGCAGCATAACCTTGTCTGCCTACTCTTTTTCTTTTCCTTCTCTTTCTTCCTTTCTTCCTTTCTTCCTTCCTTCCTTCCTTTTTTTTTTTTTTTTTTTTTTGCTGTGATACAAAGTAAGGTGTTTATTTGCAGAACACCAAGCAAGGAGGCCCAGGCAGCTACTGCTCAAATCCTGACCTCTCTGATGGCTTGCATTCTTGCCTACTCTGACTCACCATGTGGGTTCTAGATCACAAGATCTTAAACAATCATGGGAACAGGGCAGTCTCTTGCCTCATGACTATCAATGCTAAAGAGTATTATGGCAACTGCTGGTGATTCTCTCTCGATTAGAACCCCAATCTTACAGTTGACAAAGAGTATTAGAGGTCAGCCAGGTAAACCTTCCCATGATGCAAAGAAAGTTTGACACACACTGGGATTTCCCCTGACCCCTCAATCTCTGCTCTTTTTTCTCCTACAAAAATTGATCGTAAAAACAAACTTTAGGACAAACACGACTCAGCTCACATCTCCCTGATTTTTGCACAGTCTCACTTTCAGTAGTCATGCAGATTGCCTTTTGGGAAGGACAGGGAATTCTTATGTATATATTGACCACCTTCCACGGCATGTCCCACGCTAGCTCCTTCACATGCTGTGATCTCACATAACCTTCTCAACAAACTTCTTTACAGGGGAGAAAACTAACACCCATAAAAGTCAAGTGATAAGCCCAAGGTCCCACCAGATAGGAAGTGAGAGAGCTAAGATTCCCATCTGTCTTTCTGACTTCAGGTTTCATATTTTCTTAATACACTGTGAAGTTTTCCTAGTAGTGCTCACTAGAGAAAATTAGAATTTTTACTGTGAAAAAGAAAGAAGAAACATGCATTTATAGCTATTGTAAAACCAGACATCCACATTTTCCTAGCATAAGAATAGGAGATGATTTGCCTGTTTTTTAGGCAAGGTTCAATTGCTTATAGTTGGGGCTAAGCATATGGATGGTAGTGTCAAGCTGGGTTTGATTTGAAAAGATTCTCAATTTCACACATGCACGCACATGCACACACACACACACAGAGGGCACCCTCCACCTCATATCTCCTCCCACAGCCCACATCCCCTGCCACACACACACCCAGCCTAGGACTGAGGCTAATGTGACCTGAAATTTTTTCCATTTACCAGTAATTCCTTTGTGATAAGAACGTCACTTCTCTGGTTCTTTTTCTAAATATACATATTCCTGGGTACAGTTCTTCTTAAGTCAAATGAGTTTATGAAATCTGGAGACTCTGAAGCTAGCTGGTAGAAGGAGCAAGCAGAGCCTTTGGAGGAACAGAAGAAGCAGCTGAAGAGAGAGGCCAAAACACTAGTTCCCAATCAAGCCGAGGGTTGTCTTAGTTCAGAAGAACGAAGCCAAGAAACTTTTTAAGATCACCAACACTAGGCCTAAAACTTCATCCATCAAGAATAGTAGGACATGTCAAGACCATTCAATGGGGAAAGGACAATCTTTTCAGCAAATAGTATTGGAGAAACTGGATATCCACATGCAAAACAATGAAGCTGGACCCTTACCTAACACCATATACAAAAATTAACTCAAAATGGATCAAAATACAAAACATGGCCAGGTGTGGTGCCTCACGCCTGTAATCCCAGCACTTTGGGAGGCCGAGGCGGGAGGATCACGAGGTCAGGAGATCGAGACCATCCTGGCTAACACGGTGAAACTCCATCTCTACTAAAAATACAAAAAATTAGCCAGGCGTGGTGGTGGGCACCTGTAGTCCCAGCTATGCGGGAGGCTGAGGCAGGAGAACGGCGTGAACCCAGGAGACAGAGCTTGCAGTGAGCCGAGATCACGCCACTGCACTCCAGCCTGGGCAACAGAGCAAGAATCCATCTCAAAAAAACAACAACAACCGACAAACAAACAAAAAAAAAACCTTAAGAGCTAAAACTATAAAATGCTTAGAAGAAAACAAAGGAGAAAATCTTCATGACATTGGATTGGGCAATGATTTCTTAACACTAAAAGAACAGGCAATAAAAGAAAAAAAATAGATAAACTGGACTTGATCAAAATTAAAACCTTTTGTGTAACAAATGACACTATGAACAGAGTGAACATGCAACCTAGACAACAGGAGAAAATATTTCTAAATATATGTCTGATAAGGCAAGGGGTTAATAACCAGGAAATGTAAAGAACTCCTACAACTCAACAACAACAGCAAAATTCAGTTTTTAAAGTGGGCAAAGGACTTGAGTAGACATCTCCAGAGAAGATGCACAGATGGTTAATAAGCACATAAAAAGATGCTCAGCATCACTAATCATTAGGAAGATGGAAATCAAAGCCACAATGAGAGACCCCTTCACATCCATTAGGATGATTATTATCAAAAATAACAGAAAATAACATGTGTTGGTGAGTACGTAGAGAAATTGAGTTTGGGCACTGTTAGTGGGAATGAAAAATGGTACAGCCACTATGGAAAACAGTATGGTAGTTCCTCAAAATTAAATATAGAATTAACAGATGATCCAGTAGTTCCTCTTTGGGGTCTATACCCAGAAGAACTGAAAGCAGAGATTCGAACAGATATCTTCACATCCATGTTCTTGTTGGATTCACAATAGCTGAAAGGAGGAAGCAAGCCAAGTGTCCCTGGATGGATAAATAGATAACAAAATGTGGTACATACATAAAACGGAATAATAATATTCCACCTCACAAAGGAAGGACACTCTGACTCATGCTACAATATGAACGAACCTTGAAAACATTATGCTAAGTGAAATAATTCAGTCACAGAAAGACTGATTCCACTTAAAGGATTTAAACGAGGCACCTAGAGTAGTCAAAATCATAGAGTCAGAGAGTAGAATGGTGGTTGCCTGGGGCTAGAGAGACAGGGAAAGGTGAGTTATTGTTTAATGGGTTCAGAGTTTCAGTTTGTGAGGATGAAAAAGTCCTAGAGATGGATAGTGGTGATGGTCCCCTGATCTGTACACTAAAAAATGTTTAAGATGATAAATTTTTTGTTATGTGTATTTTTCTACAGTTAAAGGGGAAGAAAGCAACAGGGCAAAGAGGGAGGAGGACTGGACCCAGGGTCAGGAGACTTGGGCTCCAGAGTCAGCTCTACCACGTACCACCTGGAAAACTTTCCAAGCCAGCTTGGTTCCCTCATCCTTACAACGAGCAGTTGGACTAATTTAATCCTAAGGTCTCACCCAGCTCTAAAATCCTATTCAGAGTAAAATCCTATTCTATGTCTATTTCTTGGTTCCTTACCATGAAGCTTCAACAGTGAACAACATAGACCAAGTCCCTGCCCTCGCAGAGTTTGCATTCTAATGGAGTAGACGAACATTAAATACGGTAACACACACAAATGTGTCAGATGGGAAAATTCTATCCCAAGGAAATTACAGCAGGGTAAGGAGACGGTGACAGAGGGAAGGGTCAGCTAAAATGGCTAGGGACGTTGTCTCCAAAGAGGTGGCATTTGAGGAAAGACTAAATGGAGAGAGAATGAGACTGTAGAGTTGTGGGGGTATGTCAGGAACAGCAAGGGGGATGCAATGTGGATTCACTGGATTTGTATTTTGTATACTGGATTCTGAGATCCAGATCATAACTGAAGACCCTCACAAGCCTCCATCCTGCCAGGATCCCCTCCCCAGCACTGCACAGAGAGGCTTACCTAGTAGTGCAGATGTAGGTGCCAGAGTCCTCCTGCAATGCTGGCAGAAGCCACAGAGCACCGTCCTGGGCCCACATCCGTGTCTCTTCTTCTCCTGGGACCATCCTAGCAGAGTCATTTTTATGCCATGTCAGGTTGATGTGGGGGCTGACAGAGGCCCACAACCGGTAGGGCACCTGGGGGCACCTCAGGGCCACAGGCTCCCCTTCCAGCCTGAACTCCCGCTTGTAATGCCTCCCACGAAACCGGCAGCTTCTGGCAGCCCCTGAAGGACAGAGAGCCCATGGTCAGGCTTTGGGTCCAAAACTTGCTCAGATCCTAAAACCTCCCTGGACCCAGGACAGATCCTGATTCTGGCAGGGAGACCTGGAGCATATTAGAGGAAGATGTCATTTGTCCCTAACAAAATGACCTACACCCTGGGGTACTATCAAACTCCCTCCCTACCCCATTATTATGCTGTCAAAATTTCCAAATAACAAGTTCAGTGCTACTATCCGTTCCAACTTACGTTTGTGAAGAAAGTTAAATCAGGTTTCTATGGTGACAAAAAATTAAAGATTAAAAACTATGGCCACATTTTTCACTTGCTGACTTCTCATCATTAAAAGTAGATCTGAGCTGACTTCAGATGGTAAAAGCTTAGTTCTGGCGTGTTGTGTGGTTAAACTCCAAAGGCAACTTTGTTAAGGGCAAACACTTCACTTCTTCAGTTTGCTCTTTGACAAGCACATTCGCACCGTGCTTTTCTTTTTTCTTTTTTTAATTTTTCCTTTTCCATTAATTTTTTTTTTTTTTTTTTTTGAGACAGGGTCTCACTCTGTTGCCCTGCTGGAGTGGAGTGATGCAGTCTCCACTCACTGCAGCCTCAACCTCCCTGGGCTCAAGCACTCCTGTCGCCTCAGCCTCTGGAGTAGCCGGGACTACAGGCACGCACCACCACGCCCAAGCAATTTTTTTTTTTTTTTTTTTTTTTTTTTGAGATGGAATCTCGCTCTGTCGCCCAGGCTGGAGTGCAGTGACGCGATCTCCGCTCACTGCAAGCTCCGCCGCTTCCCGGGTTCACGCCATTCTCCTGCCGCAGCCTCCCGAGAAGCTGGGACGCCCGGCTAATTTTCTTGTATTTTTTAGTAGAGACGAGGTTTCACCGTGTTTACGAGGATGGTCTCCATCTCCTGACCTCGTGATCTACCTGCCTCAGCCTCCCAAAGTGCTGGGATTACAGGCGTGAGCCACCGCGCCCGGCATTTTTTTTTTAATGTAGAGACGTGGGTCTCTCTGTGTTACCCAGACTGGTCTCAAACTCCTGGGCTCAAGCAATCCACCCGCCTAGGGCTCTCAAGGACTAAGATTACAGCCGGGAGCCACCGAGCTCGGCCCACACTTTGCTTTCTGACAAAAAACTTCACTAGATAACAGCTTTCCTCAGGGAAGCCGCAGTTCTGACAAAAAAAACTTCACTAGATAACAGCTTTCCCCAGGGAAGCCGCAGTTCTGACAAAAAACTTCACTAGATAACAGCTTTCCTCAGGGAAGCTGCAGGCAAGTCTTTTTGCATCTGAAGGGTTTACTTCTTACCTGTGTGAGCCGCAGGCTGAAGGGTGAAGGCAGAAACTCCCATTACCAACACGTACAAGCGAAACATGGCTCCTGACAACTTCCGGAGGACACAGGAAGTGGAGGACTGCGGCCCAGCACTGCGTGGCCTAGGGGAGGAAACAAGAGGTGTCACCAGGAAACAAGAACCCTGCAGAGAGGATCCCTTGAAGATGGGGTAGGAGCAGGGTCTGGAGGCTTCACCGGATGATAGGAACCTTTTTGCCTACTCTGTTTAAGAAGAAAATTCAAAATTTTTGGATTTGTTTCTCTGCAGCTGTATTCACTGAACATATCTAAACTCAAATCCCTGTAGCACCTAGAGGCGTGCTTGGCAGAGGGGCTCCACCCGCTAAGCTGTTGTCTCTGCAGAGACCTGCCTTAGCCATCCCTGCCCCTTGGCCAGAGATGCTGTTTCCTCAGCTAAGGCCAGTGCCCATGCCCTCTCTGCTCGGACTTCACTTTCTTGGTGAGGTCTCCCTCACCTCCCTGTCTAAAATTACACCACGTTTAATCCCAATACTCAGTGTTTTCCTTTCCTTCCCTGTCATTCTCTACGGCATTCATCATTAGCCTTGTCTCCCCTCTCCGGAATTCAGGCTCCATGGATGGAAGGACTGTGAAAGGAAAATAAAGACTTGGGACACCCAGTTCACTCTGCCAAAAGGAAAAACTTAAGCTGAAAGCTGAGTCCTACAAGAAGCTGCCTTTCCTTCTGTTCCTAAGCAGACAGCTACAGGTAAAAGGTTTTAAAAACTCTCCACAGGTAGCCACTCTATGTTCACCTCACGTAAAGAGCAAATTTACTGAGTACAAGGGGAATATAACTGACTATTCCCTACCTGTTACTTTTCCCTTGCAACATGTGGATTCAATAATGACCACACCCTCCCTCTCTCCCCCTCCAGCCTGCTTTTCAATAGAGGAAAACCTTTACATATTGAATTCCTCCAAATCATCTTTGGAGAAAGGCACAGACCACAGACTGTTTTTTCTGTGATTCCATGTTTTTTCTCCTGGGGATTGTCCTTAACCTTGGCAAAATAAGCTTCTAAATTATTAAGACTGTTGGATACTTTTTGGTTGACGGAACCCTGCTTTATCTTATTCACAGTTATATCCCTAACTCCCATTTTTTGAATGAATGAGTGAGTGAGTGAATGGATCACTGGAAGCCCAAGGGTCCTCGTATATCACTTGTCGGAGAATTTTCTCTATATCCCCCATGGATTAACTCCTATTTTACATACAATTCTGACTTGTGCGAGGGATTCGATGTCCTGCTAACACCCTGGTCTACAGCATCCCAGGGAGAAAAAGCAACATGAAATCCAACACAGAAATAGCTTATACGAGTTTATGAAGCACTCCTCCCCCAGTCCTCCCAAAGACTGGAGTGTCAGATGCCCTCCTTGTCTCTCTGAGGACCTTCTCACACTAACACAAGTATCCTCTGTGTCTGCTAACCACGGCCACAACGACGCTGCTTAACAAATCAATGACCCCAGAACTGAATGGTGTGAAACAATGGTCATTCACTCTTGCTCACAAGTCTGTGGGAAAGATGGCAGTTGGTTAACCTAAATTAGGCTGGGTTAGGCCTGGCTCTGAGCTGCAGATGGGGTCCAAGTCTGCTCTGTGGGTATCTCATCCTCCTTGGACCAATAAGCTTCCTGGGAGATGATCCTCTTTGGGGATGGCAAAAATGGAAACAATGCAGCCAAAAGCACACACCAGGCCACACTGGGAACTAGCTCACTCCTGTCGGCCCACATTCCATTTGCCACAGCAAGTCAACGCCCCACCCGGTCATCAGCAGGGCGGGAAGTGGGAGCGGTCGTGCCAGCTGCCATGCTTGACTCTTCTGGCTCTGCAAGGATGGTGACAACCTTGGGGCAGAGCCCTGGTCTTGCTCACAGAACTGATGGCCCACACACCAGAACATACCGGGGAATGTTTATGACTGAAAGTCCTCCAATGGCAGGAGTTGTGAACGAATCCAGGGGAAAAATTTCCAGCCACATTTTCCTTGGGTTGTTCCCTGCTCCTGGCACAGATATCTCTGGGAATGACTTGCAGTAAACCCAGGGTGGCATTGAGGAACCGACCCTCACACTCCAGAAACCCTCCCTCATGAGTGGGGAATCCTAAGTCCAAAGACTCAGAGTTACAGTCTGAGCTCCCCGTTCTGGTAACCTGAGATATTCCCCTTAGCTGTGTATCTGGCCTGGAGCTTTCTCCCTTAAACTCTCTGTTTCCACACAATACTATTCTTCACGAGTTTCTGAAGCACAAATAGTTCCTGTGACTTTACCCCTAACCACACTGTCAGGTTTGCCAGATGAAGGTCACATAAACATCCACCAAGCTGCTGTGTCCTCCTTGGACATGCATTAACTTCTCACATCCCCAATTATACTGGTCCAAGCCAGACTCACTAGTGCTCCAGTAAGGACATGAAAGAAGTAGGAATTAAATACACTGTAGCTAACCAATACCACGTATCGGGATAAATAAATAAAGTCAAAGCTGGTGTTGTAGGGACTAGTGTAATAGCAACAGCTATTGTACCAAATATTGAACATTCGTTCTTGCATTTTATCCCCACAAAGTGAGTATCATGCTGATTTTACAGAGGATGTATTATAAGAGTTCAAAGAGGTTAAGAGGCCTGGCCGAGATCTTACAGCTAGTAAGCAGACGTTGAAATTTAACCCCAGCACTGGCGATTCCAAAGCCCTTGCTCTTTGAAAATGTACCTTCTATGACAGATGTTGCTAGTTTCTTCTCCCAATACCTGTCATCCCTGCGTCCCCAATAATAGAACCCCCAAATCTTACCTGGGCACATGGCCCTCTAGACACAAAGACATTTCCCATCATCCCTTGCAACATGGAGTGACCATGTGACAAAATGTGGGTCAATGAGATGTGAGTGGAAGTGTCATGTGATCCCCCCAGGAGGTCTCCACTAATCTTCCTTCCTCCTGCTCAGTGTGGATGTGGTGGCTGGATTGTGGTTGCCATCGTGAACTACAAGGTACAGACCACTCACTGAATGCAATAGGGCAGTAAGAGGAAAACCTGAGTCCTTAGTGGCTTCATGAAGCCGCCCACCACCCTGGACTACCTTTTTTATGTGTCCAGGCTTTCTGTCACGCACAGCCGAGCCTATTCCCAATATATTGCTTTTCCAGAGTTTATGAAAAGATCCCAGGGGAAGGAGCCCTGCCAGGTACTGTTAGGCATTGTGTTCTCACAGTCTTCTTTCTGATACTCAACTATTTCAAGTAAACAGTTTCTGCTGGTTGTCTCTAAAAGTCACTTTGACTCAAAGTCAGGAGCTGACGTGCAGCCTCCCCTCGGATGAAAGCACCCCTCTATGCTCACCTTCTCTCAGGTTCAGGCTTATGGTAATTATGGGAAGGTTTGTAACCATGTTTAAAATTACTTTGACACCAGAAAGTCAGGCTGTGCCATTCAGGATCAGTCAGTAGCCAACACTTCACAGAGCTATGGAGCTGAAGAGTCTTTGAGAAATCTAATCAAGTCTCTGCTTTCTATAGGTAAAGTGAGTTTCAAGTTAACTCTCTTCTTCAAATCATATGGCTGGTGGGTGAGAAGAAGTATTTCAACAAGGACCCTGTTCCAATGGAATGAATCCTAAAATGCTGTCCTCCTCCAGTAACTGCCAGCCCCATCCACCCCTACCCCCATCTCTAGCCAAGGAAATTGTCTTTGTTTCTCTCCCTGGACTCGGGCAAAAGAGCTGCTTTACCGTGACTTCTTCAGGAAGTGGCCACAGAAAAGTAAACCACAAACACATAGTAGTGACAGTTTTCAATAATCAAAACCTCAGTAAAAAGTTGGAACCAAAATTGCTGTAGTGTGGGAAACAGTAAATTTTTGGCAGGCCCAGAGGGGAAAACAAATTATTTTTGCAGAAGTTTGCAGCAAAACACTATTCTCCTAGCCTACTTTCTTTAAATGAGTTTTTAAATCACAGACAACTTACATTTCTGCTGGAATCTGAGTTGACCTTCTTACTGGAAGAAAGAAATTTCAAGGGCAACTCCTTCCAAGTATTTGAGTTAGAATTCTATCTTTTTTTTTGGTCAAATAACCATGTTTCACCACATTCAACGTGAGAAAACAGAGGCATATGATGAAAAGCAGGACCACGCATAAGAAAGAGACAAAAATGTGTGAAGTGTGAAAGGAAGGTAAAAGAATGCTGGAAGGTAGAAAGAGCTGATGGCACAGCCCTGAGTTGGACAGGTGGTACAGCACGCACTAAGGCCCAGGTAACCGTTACCTGCCTTTGATTCCCAGCTGTCTGCAGCTTCCGGTCATAGACAGTACATAGAGCCTAAAAGGATATAAGTGTTTACTCCACCTTTTCATTTAATTTTTAAAAATTACAAAAAGACTGAAAAGTTGAAAGCATACTATGACAAATGCAAGTATATATTTCACTAGATTCGCTGTTGCTAACATTTTGCTGCATTCGCTTTATTCTTATTCTCTCTCCCTCTTTTTCTCTCTCTATATACACACAGGCACATAGACATAGACATAGACATAGACACAGACCTAGACCCATACACAGACACAAACACAGACTGAGACCTAGACATAGACATAGACATAGACGCAGACGCAGACGCAGACCTAGACCCAGATCCAGACCCAGACCCAGACACAGACCGAGACATAGACACAGACCGAGACATAGACATAGACACAGACCTAGACACAGACACAGACATCGACATAGACATAGACATGGACACAGACCTAGACACAGACACAGACACAGACCGAGACCTAGACATAGACATAGACATGGACACAGACCTAGACACAGACACAGACACAGACCGAGACCTAGACATAGACATAGACCTAGACCTAGACCTAGACACGGACATAGACATAGACATAGATATAGACATAGACATAGACATAGACACAGACCTAGACACAGACACAGACCTAGACCTAGACACAGACACAGACACAGCCACAGCCACAGACACAGATAGAGACACAG